GGGGGGGGGGGGGGGTACTCATGTAACGCATGTCGTAGTCGTTAGACCATTGGCCTTGGGGGAGGGGGGGTCCAAAATCGAACACAGAGGGCATCGTGAGGAGGGCGATCGTCAGCGGGAAAAAAAAAACAAGAGAGAAAGTCACAAGGTGTACAACAGCAGGGGACACCCCTAGTCCCAAACAAAGGCTTGCGTGCGTCAACTGAACACGGTCGCGTACGAAGAAAGACGGGGTGGGCGGCGTGTGTGCCTCGTACATATAGGTGCCTGCGGCGAGTTTTGACTCGGGTTCGTTGTTGTTGAAAAGGTTGAGCTCAGTCCACGCTGCCATAAATACCCACAAAACACGCCGCGACGAGAACAGCGATGTCTGTGCCGCCATACGAGCTACCGTTCGCGTACTATCAACGATTCCCTTCTTTTGGCAAGCGGTTAGAGACCGTTGCCAACTATCTGATATAGGCGATGAAAATTCTCAAGACAAGACGCAAAGCAAAAGCGGGGGCAACAACGCCAGCAGCCATACCAGGGTGAGCTCGACGGGGTGTGTCAGCATGATGTGCGTGGCGAAGTCGGGGGCCGCTCCCCTACCGCTGACTAGGGTGCCGGCCAGGGGGTGAGACCCGTTGGAGATACTCGCGACGGACAGCTGCAGCCAGTTCGCCGCTACAGGAAAAAAAAAAAAAAAAACAACGACAGCGACAACAGGCCCTTCAAGAGTCCGAATGCTTGTATGCACATATTTGCCGTCGATCCGATCTTAACGAAACACACACAGCATCCCGCTGTAAGATTGACATTTCTCCTTGATCAGCCGTTTAGCGCGGTCGATGCCAACACACAAAAACAATAACTCGCAGTGAGACTGACGTCTTTGCATTGGTCAGCCGTTTACCGCGGTCGATGCCAACACACAAAAACACATTCACACTGAGACTGACGCCTTTGCATTGGCCAGCGGTTTACCGCAGTCGATTTGTTAACGTAAACAAACACACATATACACACTGAGACTGACGTCTTTTCATTGCTCAGCCGTTTAGTGCGGTCGATGCCAACATACAAAAACACACACATATACTTCTACACAAAACAATACCCCGTGACTCACTCATGTCGAGGGCGAGCATGCCGCCAAAGATCTGTGAGTGCCTCGGGTCCTTGTCTAGCAGCACCAGCGAGCCCAGCAGGACTAAGTACGAGAAACGATCACCTGCATGCAAGACAAGACATAACATCACGGGCAACTCCGCGCGCTTACTGTGGAGGGATATGACGTGTTCAGCAACAACGGGAACCAAGTGTGGGAACTGACGGGCGGCGTCATAGCCAACGTGCGTGAGGAAGGAAAGAAGGGGGAGGGCGTGCCAAATTGCTCCTATTTTTTCGTTCACGTCCTTTCCTTGCGATTGTTCCCGGCGAGGTCGGTCGGTACAAGCGGAATGGATGAGTTTTTCAACTGGAGCGTATCTTGTGCTTGCGACGAAAGGGTAGAAGAGTCGAGATGACACCACGCCGGCGCTGACCGCGAAAACATGAAGGGGCGCCGTGGTTTCAACAGCGGTAGGGCACGCACACCACGCCGAGAGAGGATAAATTATCCCTTGTACGTAGGCGGATGCGTGAACGCACGGGGAAGCGCAGACTAGACCCAACACAGCGCAATCGCGCTGCCGTACGGCGGAAACTCCCGCGACGCGACTGCGTCGCTCCGGGCCAATCTTCAGGTAGCTTACCCATAGTTGCGAGCACCACGCCAAAGTCGTCCATGGGGACCCCAGGCCGGCTCGACGCCCACCTGCAGAAGACCATACCAAACGAAGATAAAAGGGTTCCGAATGACACGTCAGCGATTCGAGGTAGTGAAGGTAATACAACGGTCAAAGAACAAAGAGACGCCCCCGCACATTAGCGGCCGGACATGGCCGTGTGGTGCTCAACACCGCTCCTCTAGCCGCTACCGAGGAAGAAATCGTATGAAACGTCCATGCCTTGCAAACAAAAAAACATCTTAACGGAAGGAGCTAACACGAAAACGGTGGTCACGGGGCGATGCAGTGGATGAAGGGGATAGCAGCGCGCCATCTCCAACCGTCGGCAAGACCCGCCGGCAGGGAAAAAACCACAATCCACCGCGATATCTCCTGCGAACTCACTAGATAGACAGCGCCCGCAATCCCTCACGCGGCCAAAACCGGCGTGTCTTGAAAGACCCCAACGAACTAACTTCCCACGCCGAAAGCCTGAGCCACACACAACACCAACAAGGGACCGAAACACCACCGCTGCTTGCCACCAACTCCGCCGAACCAAGACAAGCTTCGCTGATGCATGCGTTAAAACACAACCCACCGGGAGAGGATATCAAACACGTGCGCGAGCGCGGTGACGAGCAGGAACACGTCCGGGTGGACCGTCACCCGGGCGGCAGCTAGGCCGGTGCACACGAGCCGAAGGTAGCACAGGGACAGCACCAGGGTGCGGAGGGCCAAGACCTTCAGAGACAACAGCGGGACAATAACGCAGGGGACAGTTTGGGTTTTTGGTAGTGTCACTGTTTGGACGTCACGTGCAGTTTCTTCGGGTTAGTACGCTCTTTGCCGTCATGTATCTACGAAGAAAGGTACTATTAGAATAACGATATGATATAACGCGAAAGGGCTCCTCCACAGAGCAAGGCGGTACACTCGAACTCCGCTTGCAATTTGCTGTTCACTCCCCCGTCATGCGAAAGCAGCACCCAGTTTCATATGCGACGCAGATTTACCGCCTTATTACTCCTCCTGTTTTTTGTCCCGACAACTTATGCCACTCTGTTCGGTGACATGGTGCACATATGGACGAGCGTCGGCCTAACTGCTGCACTATTTGTAGTGTGCAAATCCTCAACAACAAGGGTTGTATTTTTTCGTTGCTCTCCCACCTGAAAGGCGTCAGTCTTGCTAATGGAAAAACCGGGCCTCGTTTTCGATGTCTGTTTTTTGTTGCAACAAAATACAGACGCTTTTGGTTCTTAGCACACTGATACAATTCAGTGTATAGGCTTAAACGAACTCAAAATAAGCCCAGTTTTCAGCCGGTTTCCCTCCACTCACTGAACAGACTTCAACAACACATCCCTTTCGACTGGGGTTGTATCTCGAACGGGCAGCCTTTCTGCGAAATTATCATGTTTACTTTCTAAAAAGTCCCGCACCTGGGATCGCTTGACGCCGGGAAGAGTTCTGCTTGTCTCTTCCCCGTCTCTGCGGGAGTTGGTCCAAAACGAGTTGGGGAAACGGGGGATCTGAGGTTGGAGGGGGGGCGTGCTGACTTGTAGCTCGCCGGTGTCGTCTGCATGGAGACCGTTGCTTGATTGCCTGGTCGAGCGCATCGACTGAAACGGGGGCCGTTATCATGCCTCAAAAAAGCCATAGCCAAGATCTGAGCTACCTTTCCGCATACGCGTAACAAGGTCAAAAGGTGTAGCAGTAGGAAGAAAATCACGCCAAAACAAAGGCGCTGCTTGTAACAAAACACCGGACAAGGCGTGCCGTGCCTGTCCAACCCGCCAAAATTATCCCTCCCCTGTGCCTCTCCTTCGTCTGTGAAGCGAAGGTATCAAGCAAGCAGCCAAACCAATGCGATGGGACTTTGGACAAGCGAATAGGACTGCTTTTGCAGACAAGCTCATCATGGTACCAACCACCACGACCATGACGACAACACCAACAACAAACGACGACGACGAGGGTCACGACGACAACCCAAAACCACGACAGCAACAACAAAAAACAAACAACAATAGCAATGCAGGCAACTAAAACAACGAACAACGATGACAGCAGCGAAACAACAAATCAAGAACAACAACAAACAAACAACAACGGGAATAAGGTCAACAGCGACAACGATAACACCAACAACAACAAAAAAAAAACACACGAAGAATAACAGCAGCACGCATAACAAAAACAACAACACCACCACCAAAAGGGGCGGGTTTGGATGCACTTGTGTCGTCTCACGTGCCGGGCACCTCGAGCACGGCCACCTCATTCCCCTTGGCGTCGGACAAGACCAGCGTTTCTCCGGAGTTCTCCATCACTTCCTTTCTCCGCAAAGAGCCGTCCTGTGAAATCAAACAACAACAACAACAACAAACAACACGTGTCACCGACGAGACAGAGTTGTAAAGTGTTGATGCTGCTATATGCTTCAGTCCGTTTATCAACCTAAATATTGCACAAAGACCGATACATATTTCTCCAAGATCATTTACGCCCCCTCCCCTCGCCGACAAGCCTGGGCCAGGGAAAACCCGGTACACAGCTCCGCCCCGGCACTCGAGGGGTGCGAGGTCTATCGTCTAAAGACGACGGCATACTCCGTTACATGAGTACACCCCCATTCCCCGACACACGCACACAAGTTATTCAGGCAACCCTTCGGGAAACCACGGCGGTGATATTCATCCAACACACCTGATTGTGCCACAGGAGGAAAGGCTGAGGAAGGTTGTGCAGCGCGCCTTCCGAAAACTTTCCCGGGCAGCAGTACACTGGTGAAGCAGACAAGAACGTCGCAAGCGTGCGTCATGCGTAAACACATTCAGCGTCAAGGAGCTGGTTTTGCCTCTGCGGCATCCTCGCGTTCTGTGTTTTTGTGCCTACCCGACGCAGGAGGCCAAAACACGCTGCTAAGAAAACAACAACTCAGAAAGGCATGTGTGCGTAAGATGCAAGCAACAGGCGGGAACAATCGACGCGCAGAGAGGATCTACAAGAGCATGCGGCGACACAAACGCGTGAGTGCGCGCGTACGGCCCTAGGACACCGACCGCGGACGGGATAAAAACAGCTGTCGCACGTGCCCGCTGGCATCGCAGCAACCTGTACCGACTACACCACGCAATCCGGTTCTATTCTGGCAAGGCTTCTGAACAGAGCACTCCAAATACAAGCTCAAATTGTCTCCCTACTGCTGTGAAGCGACCACCCGAAGCTCGACAGCACCAAACCTCTCAAACCAGGGGGCGGAGGTGCTATCTACCTACATGACCACAGCAGCAGCAACACGGTGGTTGTGCGGCTTCCAAACGCCGCTAGCCAAGGAAAATAAATACACGCACACACATCCTGCCCCTCCCCCTGTCGGTAGAATCCTTTGACTAGAAAGTTTGTTTGCGTTGTCTACCCCGCTCTGTAAGACTGGCGTCTTTTCAATGGTCAGCCGGCTAGCGCGGTCGATACGAATAAGAACAACACGCAATCAAGGGACTCACATGTCAAGGAAGTGCGGGCGCGCAGCACAAACCGTTCCGGGAAGTGGTAGGTGTGTCGCTGCAGGCGATCGGTCAGGGTGTAACCGGCGAGGTTGGCCCCCCTCCACACGGAGGGATTGCGAATCGTAACCGTTTCTGCTTCCAGGTCGGCGTGGGCGATGAAAGGCGGCGGCCGGAAGAGCCACTGCACGCGCGCAAGAAAATGATCGCAAGAAGACAAGCACCGCGTAAGATAGCAGGCAATAAGCTGGTTGCTCTTTGGGTTGTCTAGGTCGGTGTAGCGTCGTCCTGATCTCGTTTTACCCGGCACGTCTCTACCCTCCTCCGACGGATGCCTTACACGCTCATGCTGCTTGGAGCGAGGCTCCCTCCCGGGTATCGGAAGGGTAGTTGCGTCGTAGTGTTGTTGTTGTTGTTGTTGTCGTTGTTGTTGCTGTCTTCACACTCAAAATCGCTCCGGTCTCTACACGGTACCTTCTAATATCCTTACCAACTGACGTGCCTGTCGTGGGCACAGGCCAACGAAAAAAGAAACGTTCCAGTAGTAGAAATCAAAATGTGTACAAGTACTACATCACAAGTACGACCGACGAAAAAAACTACAAGGGTTGCGCCCAAGATGGGTCGCGACCGCCAAGTGCTCGCACACGGAGTAGGAGCGAGGAGGGATGAGGGTGTTGAGATAACCTATGCACATGAATTTGTAGCAATCCCTCCGGATCGCCGCTTGTATGTCATCTCTGTCCCCGTCTCTCTCCCGTGGTCGTTATTCTGGGATTCGCTTTATCGCAAATCACGGTTCCCGTCATGAAGCGATGATAAATCTCCAGAATCTCTAGCACTCGACTAGAATACCTTGTGATGCCTGCGGGCGCACCTCACACATGGCACACCGGAAGCGACAAGATCCCTCACCGTGGAAAAGAGGGTGTGGTTCGTGAACTTGGATTCACGATTCAAACGAGCTTGAAAATAGTTGATCGTGTGTGTGTGCTTTGAGGAACAATCGATCAGAGGTGGGGATACGGCCGGCATCTCCTCCCTTGCGACACCGCACTAAAGTTGATCTACAGACACGACATCTGTTGGCCGTCACAGCGCCGCCGCCACTGCTGCGGTAAACGCGCCGTGCAACCGGCTGCTGTAAGGTCGATGCAACTTTGGCCGCGGGCACAGCGGAGTGAATATACGTGAACAACAACCCCCATGATGGCTGGTGTGCCGATCTGTCATGCTACATCTTTAAGGTATGCCGTGCGAGAACTGGACAATTATCGAGGTCGCACATGTTTCGGGACAGAACAAACCACACCACAACACCACAGCAGCCATGGCGGCTCGTCTTGCCAGCAAGGAAGGCTACCAGTAGTAAGAGAACACCTCAACGACTAAAAAAAGGCACTATTTAGCTGTAGCTTCTCTGCACTACTAAAGCAAGTACTCACGTGAGAGCCAGGAGGGGTGGGGTCGGTGGGAACGTCATCCTCCTCTTGAACCTGGTGCGTATCCAGCCCTGGCAGAAGCAGGGACCGCGGCACCGACGGCACATGAAAAGCTGCGGTCGCCATGTTCGGTAATGCGTTCAGCAGTATATAGGCAACAGACCTGTGTCGTCTGGTTTTGTTGCCAACGGCCAACAAAAACGCGGAATATTTTGTAGCTGCACCCCCGTTCCCCGAGTTCCTTGATACCAGTCTTTCTCTATCTCCCGCAAGATGCCTGTCTACACTGTCCCCTTTTCTCTCCCCTCGCTTTGTCCCCTATTCGTCCGGCTTTCCTGCTGTGGTGTTGTGTTGCCGCTGAGGTGGGGGTGACGCACCTTGGAAAATGAAACATGTTGTAGGTGTACCATGTCACGGTGCCCCGAATTTTCTGCCCAAAAGCCGAGCGGATCTGCCACGCACAGAACAACAGCCAACAGAGTGAGAGAGAAAGATTGAGGGAGATAGCTATTCCGACGCGTGGCACCGGCTTGCTGTGCGAGGTAAGGCTTTCCTGAGTGGTGTGTGTTGGTTACAGCTGCGCGTGCTCGTGCTGTGTGCTTCCTGAAAGGAAGAGAGAACACAAAAGTTGTTAGCGACACACACACACAACATCCGTCCCTTTTCATTTGTTCCCCCGCGAGCGAGAGGGAATCGAGATCGCTTGCATGCAGAGAGCGTTTGGCGAGGAAGGGGAAGTGGTTTGCCTGGGAATCTCGAATGTACATGAGAGAGATCGAAGTCTTTGCTGTGCGCCCCGAGCCTCCTCTGGGAATCCGCCCTTGGTTGGATCTTGCTTCCACACCAGAGAGTACCTGTAGCAGATGAGTACCAATGGTAGATAGGAACGTTTTACATACAGCAGTACAAGAATATCCCGGAGCCAATGTCAACTGCTGTGAAAACGGTCTGGGTTCAGGGTTGTCGCGGCCACCACATGGGTAGCCGCAGCACTCGTTCTGATCAAGTCTTTGGAGACGTTCTGTGTACAGCCCTTGGGACCGGAGGGTTCCGCTTAACCTACCTGCTGCTTTGCACATCGTCGTCAACCTATTAGACAAACAAATTTCCCCCGGAATTCGGATCTAAAACCATACACGAACACACGGCTTGTCTCCTTCTCCCTCCAAGATGAAAAGCAAGTTATTTATTGCCCAGCAGCGGGTTAGACTACTGCTGTACCCGCAGCCCGCGAGACAAACGTCACACCCACAAGAGAGGAAACGAACACCCTCTACTCATCCACCCACACCCATGCCTGCAAGGTGAAACGAAAAGGAGACACCCAGCCTCTATGTGTTGTGCTTCGTCCCCGCTGCTGCTGATTCGCCAGTGATAACAGCTCTCTCCATCAAAGTCCGCCTCTCGCCGGATTCCTACCGTACAACACCGTCAGGCAACCAAGTCTGGGGAACGTATTTTGGGCGTGGAGGAGGAGGAGGAGGAGGAGCTAGCTGCTAGGCAGGGTGGGTGTGTTTGGCACCCGCCCGCAAGGAAAGGTAGACCGTCGGAACGGAAAAGGAGGTGGTGGTGGCGGTGTTTTTTCACTCGCAGCAGGCAGCGCCGAGTCGTTGCCCACAGCAGCGTACCGTTGTGGGTGTTGACAACTTTTTGGACTTTTTGTTTGGCAGATGCTGCGGTCCGTTAGTTCTGTGTGTATCCTCCCCTGATGGGGTTGTACGACCTCCGTTTATATTCCAACTTGGGATAAGTTGCCATTGCTCGTTCTCTCTGTCTCACCCATTTAGCTGCAGCCCCGGCATCTCACCCATTTATCGCTTGGGAGGGCACCCACGGGGCAGCGGTGCCGCTGCTGCCCAGGTACAGCAAAGTGTGAATTGCCTTCACAAGGCCTCCGTGTGAGATTTCCCGTGTACACTCATGATGAACAGAGATCTATCTATCCGGCTGGCTCCCAACGGTTGTTTCTCTTGACGCTCCTCTTGTACAGGTCCTATGCATATGCACCGCATATCTACAGTGGTAGGAGAGTTCAAGGTGCATGGTAGTGCATCGATGGCAGCTGTGCTTCCCCCCCCGCGCGCTTTCTAGATATCACCGGAACAAACATGCGCGATGCATCCCCGCCGCAGGAAAGTTGCGGCGGTTTTACACAATACCGAGCGAACCACCGAGGTTTTGCTTTGCAAAATCTACTCTCCGCCTCCCCTTGCTTGGATGCGGTGTATCGATTTTCCGATTTTCCCCTCTCCGCCACATCTCCACACGTTACTTCAGTTCGGTTCGTCACATGTGTGAGTTATATTAGAGGATGCCCACAATGCATGCAATATACAGTACACCCATGCTTATGTGTTTTACCGATACTATTTAGCTGTTCTGCTGTGTAGGCGCATACAAAGCGTACACGGGGGCGGCAACAGCCGGCTATGATAGCTGCTACTCCTGTCGATCAGCCGGTATCTTCGCAACCTGTCCACGCTCGGACGTGAATATGGTTCTCGGTGCATCCACAGGAACTTGGTCTCACGCTTTGCCGTGTGCAAACAAGGGAGGGTATTGACTTTATTATTATACCGAGTATTTCGTGAGTAAATTTATTTACCGGCAGTTCAAGGTACCACAATAATAGCAATTATTGGACGGGTAAAAAAATCTTCATCAAATAAAAGTAAGCCCAGTTTTCAGCCGGTTTCCCTCCACTTATTGAAAATACGGTATTTTTTCACGATTATGATTGAGGACCGCACGGCATTGAACAAAAATGTGGTAGTCTGTAGCTCCTGTGTGGCCTCGGCTGATTCGTCCAAAAACATACACACCGAAAGGGTGTTAAAAAAGTCGACGTCTTCCAGACATGCGTTCATATGCACGACAACACGCCAAAGCAACTCTTGACCGCGTTGCATTACACTACTAGAATCACGGCAAACATGGAGCGACAGAGTAGTGCTGCTGTCATGGCCCTGTCAGCGAGAACAGACTTCGACGACGTACAGTATACTCCGGAGTGCTACAATGTACCCTCCATTGTGGTGTATTCGGGTGGGGTGCGAGTATTAGGGTCGCTCTTTCTTGCGACCTATCTTGGCGTTATGTCGGTCTGGGCATAACGAGTGCTCCGCGAAAGTTAAACCTTAACCTCAGCTGTTCTTCCCTGGGTGTACTAGAGAGGTCAACATCTTGTAGGATATGGGCTACGAAACAAATGGACGATCGCCCCGGTTGCCCGGCGGGTACAGCAGTAGCCTCGTAAACCTAGACTGGCGCTAGGATACATACTGAGATGGGACGAAGACACACACAGCATTTCACGCCACTTGTTGAGGGCGGTGGCTGCGATACAGCAGTAGTTGGGGGCTGCAGCTAAGAGACTGTAGTTATCGGTCGAGGCTCAGTTTTTTTTTTGTCTCGTGGCACCGTCGAGCAATAGACCTCTCCTCTTTGTAGGATGTAATTTAGTCGTAGGACCCGCCGCTATGATTTTGCTTCTTGATACACGTAAAAAAATACTTTCTGTCGGGTAAATGTGAAGATATGTTTTTCTAGTGTGTATAGCTTTGCTTAGAAAAAAAAAAGAGAACGAAAATAGATGGGACGAACACACACGCACTACAGGATTGACAGCGGCCGAAATGAAACCGCTGACTAATCTCATGGTTTGATTTCGGCCTGTATATCCCCGTGTACTATAATACTGCGTTGCGCTAGGGCAGTGTTCCCTGGACACACCTCGGCTTTCTGTACTTTTCCTTCTCAGATGAGAGCCTTTCACCAACTCGTTGATTCCTATCAACTTTTGTTGGTAAAAATTATGAAGTAGAGCACCGTCTTCGGATCGAGTAAGCTTGTCGAGCGTTTGGATCAGATGCCGTCGCTCTTGTTATCTCTGCCGTGCTCTCACCATTTCGTTGGTTCTCATCAGTATTTGTTGATACATCGCATAAATAACTTTGTTATCAATGTAGTAGAGCACCGTGGTCGTTCTCGACGGATGGGTATGCTTGACGAGCACATGGATCGAATATGGTCGCCCTTGTTCTCTCCGCCGTACGCATCTACGTATCATCACGTCTCGTGACAGGAGCGATCGAGAGGGCGTGTTGCCAGGGGAGCGACGGCGGGGGCGCTCAATAAGGCGGCGGGCGGGCGGCTCGGGCTTGCCGCTGCTGCTGGCTCGCAGCGGGCACCCATGTTCGCGCCAGCCTCGGCGGTGGCTCTGGTGGCACTGGTTGCGTTGGTTGTTCTTCTACCAAAAGGTATGGCCGTGTGTACTGAAGAGGACATTCCACCAACCAACCAAACAGGAATAATTCCTGGTGTTTTTTTTTCTTAACCCAAGAATGCATTTGGAACCCTAGCACGCCGGTTGCACTTTGTACTTTTGCGTCTTTTTGTTTTACGATTTGCTATGGCATGGATATGCGTGATTTGCAGCGTCATACCACGCAAAAAAAGAAACACCACGCAAAAGATCAAGGCCTCGTCGAGGCTTGTTAAGCCTTGCGGATACAACCGATTTTGCGTGGTGTTTTTTTTTTTTTTAATCTTTTGTGATGGTTCTGGTTCCTGGCTCCTGGCGCAGCAACCAAATGCTGGTCTTGAGTGTTCGTAGGTCCCGACTCCGTACAGCGGTACGTCATGCTGCGGCACCACTTTTGGTACCGATGTGAGCGTCTACCATGTGAGTGTGGCAACCCGGGTACCCAGCCCCGCATTGGTTGGGGGGGGGGGGGGAGGATCGATACCCATCTGTACCGTACATATTGTAGATGACACAAGATACCGCAGCCCCTGGACCGATTTTGAAAGCTCGAGAAGAGTGGCGGTGCCGCAAAATGTCGGCATTGCAACCGTCTCGTCGAGATCTTTCGAAAACGCATCATTTGAGTCTTGAAACCCTCTCTTGTTGGTGGAGTAGCCGAGCGTTGAAAATCGGTCCAGGGGTGTGGTTTCTTGTGACATGTTCGTTGTTGGGGTCGGTTTCCAGGACACGGGCGGTGCAACTGGCACGGACGGCGGTGGAGGTGCAAGGTTGGCTGCCAAGGGAAATCGTCCGGGTCTTTTTTCAGAGCGGTTGAAATTGCCTGGCGCCAGGACTGTTGTCACACGTGGCCTTTGATTGGTATTGTAGCACACTTGCATGTCAACCTACACCAATAGGAGTGGGATTGCCGTTTGTAGAAGCATTTGCCTAACCTTTGCCCTGTGTTTTTCCGGCATCCACGTGGACTGGGGGTCCGAAATAAAGATGTACTTCTCGAGTTTTCCCAACCATAGCAGTACTACCCCCCCCCCCCCCCTCCCCCCCCGGACTTGCAGACCCCCTCCCCTTCACACCTTGTCGCTGTACCTTCACGCGGCGTTGTGTTCTTTCTGGGATATATATATATAAAGTGAACCAGAACGCGAGGTCGGATGTCAACGGTGTGCTGCCTTTCGCAGTTTTTGCAGCTTTTGAGGGGCTCGAGCCAGGGGTGGGCCGTTCTGCTCGTAGTGCTGATTCCAACGCGAAGCACTTTTGCACGAGGAGTTACTCGGCCCATCTCGAGAGCTTTGCCCCCCTAGCGGACAAAGGGGGGGGGGGGGGCGTACTCTTATGTTTTGCATGCCTTAGCGGTTAGACCATTGACCACGCGTCCTCGAGAGGACGGAGCATTGTTCCCACAGGACCGATCACCAATGGTCAATCGTTCCTTCCTACTTTGCCAAAGGTGGCTCAAAAATGTCTTCCCTAGTCTGTCTATCCTAACGATATCCCTTCCCGCCTTTTCAACCCACTTCCTACTCCCCAGTACAGCTACCGTCCTCTCCTCTCTATTCCATGCCTCAAACATCTCCCTGTACGTCACTTGTATTTTTCCCAGCTCAGTCATGTACACTTCCCTCTCCTCTTCGTACCACGGACATTCCGCGACTACATGAACACGGTCTTCGCATTCGAAGCCGCAATCACATTTGAACTTGTCGTCTTCGTCGTCTATCGTCCTATCTATGTCTTCGTCGACGTTATCGAAGGCCTATGTCCCCGGTCCTGAATTTGACCTTAAGCTGTGTCCCTGCATCCATTGGTCCATGTAGGTAATCCTTGAACCCTATCCCTTCTTTCAACATTCCGTACACTTCTAGACCCTCCTTATCCTCGGTTTCTTTCCTTAGATTCTGTTCTTCTCTCTCGGCACAAGCAACAGATATCTTCTCCTTGAACCCCTGTAGACCCTCCGTTTCCAGCGTTTCATCTTCGTCGATGTCTAACCCCTTCCATACGTCCTCTACAACATTGACCCATTCCGTGGGTTGTCTACCCCTCTTTTTGTTTGCCCACTTCGCCTCCCATACTACTCTCGGCAGCCTCTCCTCTCCCATCCCGCACATGCGATACTGCCATGTCAGCTTCCTTGCGTCTCTTCCCGAACGTAGGGATTGGATCCCCAATTCTGCCCTGACGGCTGCATTACTTGTGCGCTTGGAGCATCCTAGGATGATTTTCGCTGCTTTCATCTGCGCCGCCTCGAGGGGGGGGGTGTTCATGCCAGTAACAATCGTTCCCGGAGCAAAGACACAGATCCTTTTCATGTGTGTTGCGCCGCAAGTGCTGCCACCATGCCGGACTGCTTGCTCTTTGCACCTACAGCAGTCCCGTCTGAGAAAATCGCTCATGTCTATAGTAATTCGCAACTCTTAGGGCTGTTTTTTGTTTCCCGCCTATGTTTGGATTCTTTGCTGCTCTCCATTTTTTGCCGTTTTCGGTCGACCCCCCCGCCCCCCCTCT